GAAGATCGACTCTCTGGTTTGTGTAATTCGGACAGTGTAAGAGAAAGTGATCTGTATACTCTAGTCCACCACAAGCACAAGCTGCTGAGTCTATAATGTTTTTGAGTACAGATGTACAGGCAGTACTAAAAATATCATAAACTATTTAAGTAGTCACGCATTAAGAATAATGTAAAGTTCTCATTGGGGGTATAGAGAGGATGTTGGGGTGTCATCCCCCCCCCCCCGAGATTGTAAAGATAACGTTTTAAAGGCCCATTATGCTTTTATTTGTATTTCTTAAAACCTTTTTAATTTTGGTGTAATCCTATAGTACCCAAAAAGTACTCATTGGCCAATAAACTGAACCATCTTTTTTTGGCAATTCGTACGGTTATAGTGAATTAGTACTTTAAATGGAAGTACAATATTACATGCTTCTAACATTTCTCTGATACCATTATTTAAACAATATAAAATTCATGTTTGGCTTTTCTAAAGAAGTATGTTCACATGAAAGAAGCCTCTGGCGAACGGTTGTTACGGGGCTTACAAAAAAACTTAAGTTTGTTGATCAGCTTAAAATTAAGTAAAATAAATGAATCTTTTATCACTTAAGCATCAAACAAAGTATCGACCGTCATCTTGAACTGTACCTCAAATATTGCAATGTCGCAGATCGGAAATTAGTCAGTACTAAGTATTTAAGCAGAACTCAGTTGACACATTCAAAAGTCTGGAACCCAAATTGCGTTGATATGTAGCATATTAACACACTTTGGAGTCAATTTCTCGATTTTGACCCCAAAGTGCGTTGGTCTCTAAAGTGCGATGCGAAGTGTAACTCACTTTTATAAAGAAGAATAAGTTTGTGTCGCTCAGAGGTTCAAGAGAAGATTCTTTGTAGAGTTTTGCGAATGAAACCAATTGTGTTGCTCCTGTGATCATTTTTGCTGCCTCTATTTGTATGCTCTCAAGTTCCTCAGGCTCTGCTACAGTGATATTTTCCCACATACATCCGTGTATTCAAGAATCGGGCGAATGAAGGACATATATAAAAACAATTTTAGTGATTTTCGATCAAGAGTAAATTTGAATGATCTTAAAATGTTAACTCTTTTCCAAGCTTTGTGTTTGACATCCATTATATGGGCACTCCATGAGCCATCGTTAGAAAATGTAATACGAAGATGCTTATGGTTTGTAACATTCATTATTCGTGTGTTGTTGAAAACAATTGAGGGTGCGCAGGTTTAATTCTCTTACGTGAAATAATCAGGGATTCTGTTTTTAACAGTAATATGGTTGTTCCAGATCCTAGGAAATCAGGAAATATCGTTTGAATTAAAGTATTTGAAAGATGTTACATTTACATTTCATTGACAATAAAGGATTTGTCCTGAGGCTGTAGACCTTACAAGTGACAGGGTAAACATTAGTTTCTTGATCATATATCTTACGAATATTTAATAATGAAAAGAAATGAATTTTAAACACATTTTCAGGTAAACCTGAATAAAATTAATATTATTTGGGAAATGATTGTTTAAATAATTATTGGTGATTTCAACCACAGAAGCTTCGAATTATGTCAATAATAAGAATTAAAGTCAAATATATACCCCACCTAACTAATGCTATATATAATAAATACCACAAGGAATGCAACGCCTTTTCACTGACCAATACACAACACTAAAATGTACACAAACAAACGATATTAATATATTATCAAATCAAACCATTGTACATAAATTCTTCATTGACATTTACTAATGTCCACCAAAGTAATCCACGTCAAAAATCACAGATTCGGGCCGAATTTTTGTTGTTGTTTTTTTTTCTTTTTTACTATTTAAATTTTTCTGTGAAATTTTTTTTTTAATAAAGTTATAAGTACCATTATATACCATATTTGATATAGTCTTGTTCTTATTACTAAATATTAAAATAAACAATTATCATAGAATTGCAAGCAATACAAGAGTCTCCTACCGGTTAGAACCCCAGCAACATTCTGAGGGGTATTCAATTACGCCATAAATGTTGTGGAAGACATGAATGAACTTAAATCTTTTGAGTTTTTACTTTGTATCATAGTAATATGTTAAGTTTCCCTGCCTATTAGTAAATTATGTTTATACAACAGATAATCAAAAGATCCAATTTTCTCAGAATGAATATGTATAACTAATGTTTCAATTTTTCATCATTTTAAGTAAACTTGTTGGCATAGTTCCAAGTTCTGTATAAGTGATTTTCAGGATTTACTTTTTGGACGGACAGACAGACACTCTGAGGATAAATCTTTAAACATTCCTGGTTGTTACCAGAATATAACATTTTTAAAAGCAAAATTCTTAAACTAAAGAAGAAATAACTTTTAAAACTAATGAACATTGTCATACATGATGTGAGTGATGACAAAATACAATTAACTAAACTTTAAAGTAGATACCATGTATAGAAAAGTAGAAAAAAATGGAAGAATAGCAATTTTCAAACACACTAAGTTTAAGGAGATGGACGCTAGATTTATAAACCTTGTCATATTATTATGATGTGGGAGTTTTAAGTAAATCATATAAGAAAGGAGGAAGTTTGAGAAAATAATAATAATTTCTAGAAAAAATCTTAGTTCAAGGGAAATAGTCAAGCTAGACTATCGTATCTTCTAACAATGATATGAATAATAATAAGTAACATATTCTTAAAATTTGAAGTAGATAACTAAGAAATAAAGAAGTTATAAAAACAACGACATATTTTATGAAAATTTAAGTTCAATGGGGTAATCCTGATAATTTTGAGTTGTGAACCTTGTCACATATGACGTGGTTGATAATCAGAATATATACATACATATATTTGATGTTTTAAAAAGATATCTTAAGAAATAAAGGACTTATAGTGAAAAGAATTTTACTGCGTAAATCTTCAATTTGCGGTTGTCTCAGTATACTCCCTATGGTTGAGCTTAAAATGATGTGTATAATCTTCAGACTGCCATCTATCTATATTTCAAGTTTCATAAAAATAGTTTCAGTACTTTTTGAGATATCGCAAATTATGTTTTATTTGCCATATTTTAACTTTGTTTGTTGCCTTAGCAACCAAAATTTTCAACATTGGAAGGAAAAAAAGACATGCATAATCTCCAGACTGCCATCAACCCATATTTCAAGTTTTGGAGGCCCTATTGTGAATACATATCCATAACAGAAAACCTTGTATCCACTGCTGGGACATTATCTTAGTTGGTTCTTTCATTGAATTTGCCACTATTTTCAGTATTTTCATAGCATTCATGCTAGTGGTACCACAGAAGTTGTGGGGACACTAATAATATAAATACATATATTATGTTTTTTACCATTGCATTTTTATATTCAGGCCTATCGCTGAAAGATTTTCTAAAACAAACAAAGAAAATGGTAATGAAATGTAATAGCAAATAATACTTTTTGAGGTAAATGTCACTTTAAAGTATGATTAATCTTTGAACAATTTTTTTGGAGAATGTGCCCTGTCCTGTATGTAAAGTGAAAGCTCTATACTAGTACAGTATATAACATTTGTTTGCAATGTTCTTTGAAAATATAATTTCTAGTTTATTAAAACAGATTTTTGAAAGTAGTTGAAATAATGGAACGATGTAGACTTTAATTTATCATTAACAGACCATTGTATTTCATTTAATCTTGACAAAATGTTTTTGTCATTCAATACTTAAAAATGGTTATAAAATCGTTCCATATCTAAGACAATACCTCTATAACACACAATAGTAAAATTGGTGTAAACCTTTTTGAGCACACATTTGGTAAACATTTGATATATGCTGTTCATACTCATAATATAAGTTATACTTTTATCAATATATACATTTTGCTAAACATTTTACTATTCACTGTTAGCTTAATTTTATCTACACTGATCATTATAACTGTTAAATTTATATATCATTACCAATAAAAATCCATAGGACCTTATAATATGCTTTAGTGAACTTGTTACGGCATTCCTTTAATTTTAAAGCTACATTAAATAAATATGTAACATATTTTCCATCGGCTAAAAATCCAAGAATTCTTTAGTTTTGAAAACATCTTTAAAAACAGTATTGTTGCCAAATCTTACTAAATATTGTACATAAGTTATGATCTTAAAAGGAAATCCCCGCGGTAACACTAAAGTTCGTATACGAATTTTAACATACAAATGAAGACTATAGTATGGAAAGCCATGGCTGTCTGATATTGTTCTTTTTCAATTTATGTAACCATTTGGATAATATATGAGTTCACTTCGACTATATATGAATTGAAAACACCTTCTTATTTAACAGGAATCCATTATATTAATCCACAGTTACAATATATGAAACCATACTGTCAGTGTATGAAACCGAGTTAGCAATATATAAGTTGATTTTCTCAATATATGATTCCAATTCTTCAATATATGGTACCAAAGTAGCTATGTATGGAACCAGATATCCTTATATGAATTATATGAAACCGAATTATCAATATATTAATTCATTTTTACAATATATGAAACCATTTTATCAATGTATGGAGCCGAATTTTCAATATATAAGTTGATTATCACAATATATGATACCAATTATTCAATATATGGAACCAATTGTTTGGATGTTTGACTGTGATGACTACGTTTTATGTTCAATTGTTCGAATTATAAATGTAATACCTGGCCCGAGTTTATTTTAATTAGACATTATCCGCTTATAGATCTATCTTCAGTTACGTTAAATGCATTTATATCAATACTTTACTTAATTGAGTAGAATCGTCATATACGTACATGCAGTGTCATAATTCTGGAAGGTATCCAACATTTGTTAAAGGAAGCCGATTACTGCATTTTGTCTCCATTTAAACATGGATTATAACGTAGTGACGAACATACCAGATCTAGTCACATAAAACCTGATCGAGTATGCCAACAACCAGACAGTACACTTGTAAACAACAATAGCAGAAAGAAACATGAATATGTCCAAATGCTTTATTTAGATGTATCTAAACTGATAAGGAGATAACACGAAACATTGATACATAAACAACATCAAAAATATTTGGCTAAAACGAAACATTTTATTGGCAAACGCAGTCAAACATCAAAATCATTACATGTAATACCGTTATTCTTTCCAATTGAAAAAATAAAATAATTGGCTAATATACCTTCTGATATCAATTATCAATAAATGTGAATTCTATTTGTTAAATACACATATATCATAAAGCAAAACAAAAATCTAAATCATATAACATGTAGAATTCATTATTTGAATGTATTTATACTGCAATTAAGACAGTTGAAATAACGACTGACACTAGCTTTCTTGTAGCTTTTACAACACATTTAAAGAAAATAGATACTTTCTACTTAAATGAAATTTATTGTAACAATTAATACAAACAAATGCTTTTGATAGAATAGAAGTAGCATTTTCAAAAATGTTCGGGCCAGTTAAAGAAGACAGTGTCATTCAAATACATGTTACAAGAAGATGAGATATTGAAAGAAATAGAATTATTCTCACTTAAACGTCAGACGAAAAAAGTGCGTGCAGTAGAAAATCAATGATGTGCCAAATTATTATAAGTATTCCTAAAACTGTTGCCATGGTGCCATAAATTTGAAGCTCGTTGCCAAAGGTTATCATCGTGTGCAGCGTCTTTAACTGGATCAATAAAAGCCGAGTTTTCTCGCTCCATTCTTAAACCATAGGCAGACTTTCCACTTCTGGCTTGAGAGACAGCGGATGTTCCATGAGGCTGAAAACATTAATATTCAAATGTTTTTCATCAACGAAAGTACAATATAATAAAATGTCAGAATACATTGGTTTGAGTAATTGTAGATCTAGTGCAAGCCTGTTTAAGAAAGTAAATGTTCACTCATTCTCACCAGAAGAAATAAGAAAGTAGTTTTATGATGAAACATAAAAAAAATAGATATGGATAAAAAAGCCACAGAATAAAGTCAAAAAGTGGCAAACATATCCTACAGAACAGTACATTTATTATAAACACCAAGCTTCTGTATACCTGTATATCATCCATCAAGTTGAATATAAAGCAGAACAGTGCCAAAGTATGTAGATAAGACAGATACGTTTATTTTTATCTATTTAAAAGCAATTGACAATGTGCAATACCTTGTCGTCCTTGTGGTCGAATGGGTCCTCCTTAACTGAGGGGATTGTGAATGCTTCAGGATGTTCTCTCCGCCGGCCGCTTCTCGCCCTTTTTTCGTCTTTCCAGAACTCTTCGGCTTTTTTGAATGCTTCTTTTTGGTCTTGAACTTCTTCACTCTTAAATGCAGAATCATTTCAAAGTATTTTTAAAAAGCAAAGATGAGTGTTTTCAAATAAGTTATTAATCTATTCTCGAAATGTTTTGAAAAATGCATGTTTTTGTCATACGATTTCAGAAGGAAAAAGAAACAATGAAAAATAAATAAAGTTCTTGACTAGTCAACACAAACAAGACATCTCTTTACATCACTATGTCTGACCCAAGACATGTTTAAGTGTGTGTTAAACATGCATAAGAGTACATATTAAACCTACATCTCCTTGTACTTCCATAGGATGTCGGATCCTTGGTGTTCTTTTACGGTTCTTTCGGGTATTTTCGGATGGGGGGTCTCCAAAACGGCGGCGCTCTCCTGTCGCCGATGTACCTGAAGATCCTGAAGGTATAGTTCAAACTTTGTTTCAAACTGACATTATATAAATGAAGTGTGAACCTGTATTAATGCAATACTTTTTCTATAAAATAAAACTAAAGTAGTAAGTTTTAAACATTTAGACTTTGTTTTATATCCTAATTATGTAAATTTCTTGTCATATAGTTACATTCGATTATAACATGCAAGCATTATATTAGTCATCAAAATTAAAATAATTTGAAAAAATATTTTCTACTTGAGATCACTTTACATAGACAGACTAGACATTATACATACATAGCGCATTGCCTATGCTTTCAGTGTATATAGCATAGACTGACTAGACATTATACATACATAGCGCATTGTTTATGCTTTCAGCGTATATAGCATAGACAGACTAGACATTATACATACATAGCGCATTGCTTATGCTTTCAGCGTATATAGCATAGACAGACTAGAAATTATACATACATAGCGCATTGTTTATGCTTTCAGCGTATATAGCATAGACAGACTAGAAATTATACATACATAGCGCATTGCTTATGCTTTCAGCGTATATAGCATAGACAGACTAAAATTATACATACATAGCGCATTGCCTATGCTTTCAGCGTATATAGCATAGACAGACTAGAAATTATACATACATAGCGCATTGTTTATGCTTTCAGCGTATATAGCATAGACAGACTAGAAATTATACATACATAGCGCATTGCTTATGCTTTCAGCGTATATAGCATAGACAGACTAAAATTATACATACATAGCGCATTGCCTATGCTTTCAGCGTATATAGCATAGACTGACTAGAAATTATACATACATAGCGCATTGCCTATGCTTTCAAAGTATATAGCATAGACAGACTAGAAATTATACATACATAGCGCATTGTTTATGCTTTCAGCGTATATAGCATAGACAGACTAGAAATTATACATACATAGCGCATTGCCTATGCTTTCAGCGTATATAGCATAGACAGACTAGACCCTATACATGTTTATGGTATCAGAGTATATATCATGAACGTAAAGCATATGAACTTCAAAGTCATTGAAATACTGTCAATCTATAAATATAGGATTTTGTACTTATTATCAATCTACCTTTATCTGGTCGTTGAATGCTTTCACTTCCTTTTCTGTCCACCATGTATTTATCACTGGGTGCGGTCCGTGCGGTCTTGGCGTTCTTTGCGAGCTGAAAAAGATATATCGAAAATGTGTTTTCAAGATGTGTTTCAATGACGTCATGATGAATATACATGTATATAAAAAGAAGAAGAATTTAATTAACAGACTTTTTAAACGAAATAATTGACACAATACTATACTAGTAATCATATCGCTTCTGATATTAAAGATCATCTATTTTCATCTTTAAAGATATTAAATGTTACTTTATATATGTGCAGTCTATATATGTATATTTAATTGTGACTAGAAATTCTTGGCACATGCTTTAATATTGTCCGTCTGTCCGAAAGCTGTACATGCATCAACGTTTCCGTTCAAAGACAAAATAAGAAAACGACGTAGAATGCTGGTCAAAAGCAAGGGTAAGTTTTGACAAATTTGATACAGTATTAAAGGATGCGCCATAATTTCTCTTTTTTAAATGTATGTGCTCCATTGTGAGGTAAGGGAATCACTCTATTTCATAAAAAATACTTCCTCTTCTTCACGTTCATTTATTGGAATATTACAAAAAGTGATCTTCGTGAATATACATTGGTATTATGAGAGTGACTATATATATATATATCAAGCACTCAGATATAATGAGGTCATAAAATAACGAAATTGTTTGAGATATAATGAGGGTTTGTTTTTTTGTTGTTGTTTTTTTCTTCATCTTTTTTTTATTTTGCGAAACAGAGTGATTTCCGTATTACGTTTTTGGTTGTAGTTTACCTTTGACCATACATTCATTCAATAGAAAATATTTATTGGTGAAATATGATTATTTTTTTCTACAGTCGAAACGTTTTTGTTTTTTTTAATTCCACATCTTAACCAAATATCGACAAATTAAAATAAAATAAAGATAATCTACAACATTGTGAATTAGCAGAAATGAATCCTTGTCAATTAGTTTCAATCACCTTCTAGACTTATTGGTAGCAGGAGTAGAATATCCCTGGCTTACCCTTGCTTTTATGACCTCATTTTCAATCTCTTTCATTTCTCTTTCTAATTTTTCCCTATGCTCTTTTTCTGCATTTTCTGATTCTTGTTTTTTTATCCGTTCTAAAAATGGAGTTTCTCTCATACTAATGGTTCGGCTCTTAGTACCGGAGTTTACTCGAGCACCCTTTATATTCTCTTTTGCTGACCTGACACGCTTCTTCTTTTTGTGCTTTTTCAGCTTAACTTTCTTGATACCGTCTGCTCGTTTCTCGTCATCAGATTCTGTTTCAGTTTCTATCTTTTTTTTATATGCTATGCTTGGTAAAGTTGCCTCTTCTGGTTGAATTACAGGTGTGAAAGCCCTTGATAATCTCGGAAGGCCCAACTCGTCATCAATATCATCCATGTCAAAACCGCTATCTTTATCTTCTTTTTTATTTTCTGCGCTTTTTCGTTCAATAGCTTTAATTTCTTCATCCGTGAAATGAAGCTCATTTTTCTCGTCTGTAGATATTGGAAGAAACGTTGATGCAAGTGTAGCTTCGTTTTCGCTTTCAATAATTACGTCATCAGATATATAATTTACCTCGGGTTCCTCAACAGGCGCAACTCCACTCCTTCGTTCAATGCCATCAAGACCACCTAAGCCACTTCCACCTCGTGACGTCATTGATATATGAATGGAATTTTCTCTGCGGATGCCCATTTCATCTTCCATATTCAATCTAGCATCTCCGTTCATGGCACGTGGAGTTTTAGAGCCAGCAATTTTACCATCTCTATATAAATCTCCATTGACAAGTCTTTTATTTGCTGGCTGTGTTTTCTGTAAGGGCATTTTGTCGATTTCTTGTTGCTTTCTCTTTTTATAATAATGCCAAATCAATGCTGCACAAACAATTATGATTATAAGAAGAATCAATCCTACTGCAAGTCCAGCAGCCGATGCCATTGAAAGAACGTTCGACGAAGTATCGTAAGCTAGGAAACAACACAAAAAAGTAACACATTAAAATGTTCCTGATTGGAACGACAAGAAACTGAAGTTGAATTATTGTATCTACAATATACTTTGTGTTGCATACTATATTAATTTCATATTATGAACAGAACAGAACATATTATGATAGGACCGTTATTCATTTCAACATTAGCGGAAGGGATACATTAGTTATTTAAAGTACCTTAGAGAAATTAAAATACAGTTCGGGCTTCATTACCTTTTGTAACAAAAATTGTAGACCATTATAGGTATATGGCAGAGATATACAAATTAAAATCACAAAATAAAAAGAATATATTGCAGCAATTGTAAAGATAAAAAGGATAATTAATATCGATTTAGCTTTTTTAGGGAGAACAGTAGTTTCCATTTACTTAATGAAAATAATAAAGATGTCTTATAACATATCTTTGTAAAATGTTTGAAAAACTGTCCAACATATTATACACATGGACCGACGTATCTTAATAATGATATATAACATGTACTTACGACACGAAGCTGAAAGCACGAAAACATAAAATAAATATAACTTGCTGAAAGGCAATGTAATATTTTTTAAGTTAAAACTTATATGCTTGCTGAAGGAAGAAGTTAAGAATGCGATTGTTTGATGTTGTTGATGCAAAATGTTTAAAAAAAGGTGTAAAACGTGCCAGACATGACACTCGACTGTCTACGCCTTTTTATATAGATACTATATAGACATAAATTGTTTGTTTAGCTTCACTTTATCAATGGCATAAATTAAAAAAGAGTATGGTGTGACTATGATATCGAATGTAGAAATGACTGAGTTACCTGTCCGTGAGAAGACAAGGACTGCCCCAGGGGATGAGACAGATGTTGTATTCTGGGTAGACGCGCATTCCTGTGGGTACTGAGTGGCATACGCTATTGTGTCCGATTTTGAATAGACCTAAAATATCAAAATATGGATGAACATCCGTAAGTTATACATATTTTCATTTGAAAATGTATCACAGGGATCAGTCAAATGTTAAGTTTGTTTTCTCCTTGTGCAGTATGTGTTTTTTATTGTTTCATGTTGGTATGTTCACTGTTTATACGGAAATTTCACATAGATATGATCAAACTACTTTTTCATATATACGTATGCATGTGCCATGGATAACCACTCCCACTCTTGTTATCTCTTCTGTTCTCATTTATAGATAAAGAAAAAGACTGACATCTTCAAGAACATATTACTTAATTTAATTATCAAGTATCGTATACTCACATAACAAGTAAATCTGTACGTCGTGCTTTCATCTGTTGATGTATCAGTATTGTACACATACATATATGTAAAATCGGTGTCACTTGTGTAGTGAATGCACTTCAAAACACCGGTTGCTGAAAACATTAAATTTCTTTTATAACGTTACAAGATCCTAAATGAGTTACACTTGTATAGTTTGTAGTTTTACCGTTTAATATTATTTAAGAGTAGGTACAGCTTGTTTTCAAAGTATGAACTCATGTTTAGGATGTCACCTGTAAGTCATTGAAATCAAACATATTTGACGTTTCTTTGCCACATAAAATATTTTCAATGGCAGTTATTAAACTAGAATTTGGAGAATTTAAAACATACCTGAATATGCTTGTATCGTTGAACAAGCAGTGTAGTTATACGTCATCGATGTGGCGTCACCGCCTTGACATATATCGACATAACTTCCGGTTGTACAGGAAGTCGTCCCGCTGCTCGTGTGGTTGTATGACCATTCTCCGCGAATATCAAACGGAAATTGTATCATAGAATTCAGTTCATTTCCTTTCAAAGTATACAAGAATTAACAGGTTACCACATATATCAATTATTTAAACATGTCTGGTGATTCTGTCCCGATACACAAAGAAAAAAAAAACCGGTGTTTAACTGCTAGGGGCTGTACATGTATATGAAGCTGTTCTTTTTAATGTGTACATGTTCTCCCTTCAATGATAGGGATAAAAACCTTTTAAGGCAACACTAATAACGCATTTTAGTGATACTTTCTTGTTATGTTTTCTTTTAGTATTGTGCTAAATTGACAATTCACATACAGATTTTATTATACAGCAAGATTATATATTAGAAAAAAATACGGAAATCGTAAGCAACATAATGACATCATCTTAAGCATGCAACTAATTCATAAAGGCACCAGAATGACGTTATAGTGGGGGTTAATAATGATTATTCGACTACCGATGTAAACAAAACACAATCCAGTCTGACAACCTAATTTGATAAAATCATTCTCCAATAATAAGATGAAACATTTTTTCTTATTATTATTTGTTGTTGTTTAATATTCGTTATTTGTTTAAACCTTAGCGTAAGTCGTCTCCCATATTTTGTCATGTTAGAATTGAAATAATATTTATCTAAGCGGTGTTCATTGGGCATTTAACACCTATTTGTCGTTTTGATTCTAACAATTTAACCACTCGTGGTCTCTTCCTAAGTACCAAAACTTCGAACCGGTGTTAAATAGCTGATAAACACCGCTCACATCGATATTATTTCTTAAAAAATAATTTAAGATTCTCTCGATTATTTATAAAAGAATGTAAAGTCATTTTATTTTCATATTTGTTGTGTTTTGATATATTGACTACGAAGGCCTATCTTACATGTACAATAAATTAGGAACTTATCTAAATAGACTTGCAGCTATATGTACATTTTCTAAATGTTTTTGTAGTTTTGCACAACTGTCATTGCTTTCATTACATTTGAATTCTAATAGCAAATGTCAAATAAAAAATATACCATCGTTTTTTAGAAAAATATTTTCTGATCCGGTTGCATAGGTTGTCCTATCACATACTGTGGCAACAGTTGGTGTTGTAGCTGAAGTCACCAATGCTGACTTAAGTCTTTCATTGTTAGCATCTGTGTTTTCCACTGTAATTAATAATTAAACAATAGACAGTATCTTTTTTCTGTTTGTAATCATATTTCTTTAATTCATTGTCTATCTTTTTTATATCTTTGCTAAAAATATTTAGACGTTTATGAATGTATATATGTAAACTATTTAGACGTTTATGAATATATATAAAAAATATGTTAAATATTTAGACGTCGTTTATGAATGTATATATGTATTCCTTAACTATTATTTATCATACATTCTAAATTTGTCTCTTGAGCAGTTCTTGTAAATGTTCACAAGTAATACGTATTAAATATTAAAATGCTAATCACTTACCTGAGCCTAGATAATATATGTAAAAACTGTCAGATTTTCTCTCAGATATCTGTATACATGTGAACACTTCAAATTCAAGACCATAGTAAGTGAAAGTAGAGGATCTAAAAATCAGACCGTAAAATATTTATTTGATATAGATCTCTGACTGGATCATCTAAAGCATGATTATTTCAATGAAAATAAGTCAGTATTCTTTAAGTGTAAAACTTACATTGTAATATTGTTTAATATGTTACCTACAAATTATGATTATAGGTGGTTGCAGACAGAAAGAACTTACAGTTTTATATCAAGATCGTTAATTGAAACGTATAATTATGTACCATAATTCTTTGACTTTACAGCCATTAAAATGACATGACAATAAAAACGTACTTGAAGACATATTTATCCCCTTCAGAAACATAACATGATAAAGACAGACTTCCAAATTTGCTCGTTTTGTAGGATGGTATAGTACTAACGCCTGATGTTGTTGTAAAAGTGATGGAGCCCTTGGTACTGCTGTACCAAGCTCCGCTCAGGTCACTTGGTAGTACACAAGTGTCTGAAATAGGTGTAGCCTAGGTAATTCAGAGACATAAATATACAAGTTACTAGTTTTACATCAGTTTTGAAACAAGGAGAAGCTGAATTATACAATGTTTATCTATCTAACATTTGAATGAAAAAATAAGATTTTATAAATGTACTGAAGCGTAACTATGAAATGCTGTTGTCTTTTGAACATTATGATAACAATTGAAAATAATGTTCTTGGTTACATCAGTTTAAGAAAAAAACAAAACGTTATGATAAAACCCATTTCCGTTGAATGATACAAAATTAGTTACATACCTGCATAATGCACGAGGAGGAAAATCACTAATGAAATGGATGCAACCCAAATTTTCTTCATTCTTCTACCATTTTGAATGGTAAAATAAACTCAAATTCTAAAACATTTCCAATCCGCCATTGCAAGAACGACTGTATCTACGGTATTCGACGCATGCGCAAAATAAACATGCATATATTTACTTACTCTAACAATTGAGATCTACAAAAATGAAGTAAACTTACTACAAAAGAACACCCTATATCATAATACATGTAGGATTTAATCATTTGAACTTTTTAATCGTTTAAATCTGTAATCTAGCATGCCATAGAGAATGAACCGGGGTTAATCTGATAATCCGTTACGTTTGTGTCTCTTTAAAACATGTATATATTTAATGTAGAGCTGACAAATGTGAATTCGAAAGTCTTTATAGGTCCGAAGTGCATTTATATCAGTGTCGTACATTAGTTAACGTGTGAACATATTATTGTGAGTTTCTTTGACGATGATTTCAAATATCACAAAACAAATTAACTCGGTATATTACTTCTGTCAAAATATTTATTCATTAGATACATCTTTGTTTTCATATCATTTCCTATTTTCATTCATTTAACAGACAAGTCCTAATACGGCAGTTTATATAAACATGATATTTTTGTCGCTTCTGTTCAGTGGAAGCAACAAGGAAAACATTATAAAATGCTTCTTAGTGTGAATATAATAGAGGTTGACACACAGACAAGACTAATTTGAATGTAAATATTCCAGTTTGAAATAAAAACATTCATTAAAATTATTAAATTTCGTAAATTATTTTCAGACTTACAAGTCATTCATGAAAAGAGCTCCCTTAGATATCACCAAATTGAAGAAAGTTTTATGTCTTATATTTTATTATTAAAAAAACAACAAAAACAATAAAACAACGACAAAAACAAAATACTAGTAAAGATTCAAGTATAAAGCAAACTGAATAGGCATTTTAATTTTGTAATTTCCGCTATTTACATTTTAAGACGATGTTGATACATCATTGATACATTAGTGTGTAACTCCAGTTTATCTCAATATAATCTTCTAACATATCTATTCTAAATGTAACGTACCTATAAACTATTGTTCATATACATTCTGAAAAAAGTTGACCAAAATATGGATGAATATTTGTTATTGTCCCAATGGGGATGAAGGGAAATAACTTATTTCAATATAAACGTATAATCAGTCTCTAATAAGAGTTATTCCTCTTCAATTATTGTTGCATGTGTTGCAACTACAACCGGTTCAGGTTTGTTCTTATTATGTTCGACTCTTACCGCTGAACGAACTAAATTGACGAAAGTTGTGAAAGGTTTACTCTGCCTGGGCATATTTTCAAAACTAACAGTGTGCTCTTGTTGATTTTTATGTTGGTTATCAGGTCCTAGGAACCATGCTTTGTTCTGCTTCTTTGGTTCGTAGTGCCAAAGTTGTGCTGTAAGATTCAAAGCTATCTGGGTTCTGTCATATGATTTATGTAACATTTTACGCTCATCGACTTTAAACGAGGCAATACTTTGAACATCGAATTTATCCGGTTCTTCTACAGATGGCATTGCACCAGAAGTTCTTCCATACGTACCACGCCTTTCTCGAGATCGACCTCTTTTACTTTTTCTGCTGTTTGATGGCCGTTTGCCAGATGATACTTTACTTGTTGCACTTGCCCTTTCAGAAGTCGGTAAGGGCATGCTCTTCCAAGTACGTAAAGGATTCAAATATTCTTTACTTGGATCAGGTCTCATATCTATTTCCCATTTGCTTTGCCATCTCTGAAAGAAAGAAAGGTACCGTGTACATTCGGGTTCAATGGCTAAATCAATACGTGATTGTGGTTTTCTAGCACATTTCTAACTAAATAGTGTAAAATAGTTTTAACAAGCTTAACAAAATTCTAGATGGTCATTATTTAAAAATAAGCATGTTACAGTTTTGACATTCAAAAATATATACTTTGATTGATAGAGAACTTTATTAAAACAACAAACGTTTATTTCTAAGAAATGTCTTTTTATCAAAATTCAAATAATATAAGTTTAACTTACAGGAATCGGTTTGTTAATTACAGTAGTTTCCGTTGGTTCCTTGTTCAGGTCAGCCATTGTAACACTTCTACCTTGCTAAAACATATATATCGAAGTATTGCTCATTTTTAATGATTAGAAATATGGAGAACAATAAAAAAGATGTAAAAGTATGTTAATATTAAGCAGTTAAAGCATTTTCTTTTGTTTATTTTTCTTTGCAATAAAACTCTGAACTTTTTATGACATGGAATTACTGTGTATATCTTTCGACAATAAGAGCGTATTCTCTATTTGATATCATTCTATCACTTTACAATAACAATTAACTTTAATTTCATTTTGTTTGATGATAAATCGTGCATTTTGTCTTAAATATAAAAATTTACCTGTCCAAGAGTTGCTATAAACTTCGCATCTCTTAAACTTTGAGATGTTCTTGGTCTTTTTCGTATGGGTTCAAGTAAGTAGTCATTCACTTTTCCGTATTTTCGTGGACGTTTCTGCTTTTCTGCAGGCTTTTTCTTCCTACTGAATTTTGCACCCATTCTGTCTACCATTAAACTGACAAAAATGGTGAACTAAATCAACTGTTTATTTATAAAGAATGATAACACGAGCTTTTTTATGTATTTTAATATATTCATCCGTGTCAAAAGACAATTGCATTTAGTTGACTGTGTACATGCCCATGTAAAATAATGGACTAGGAGAACAAATAAAAAAATTGACCGACTTAAAGATAAACTATGCTCAAATCTTATATTTAAAAATATTGATAATTGCTTCACAGTCTTTTTGTACATATAAGATATACATGTTACTTTTACAATTCATAAAACCTTATAAAATATGGTTTCACATTCATTTTACGCAGAGTTCATATACATAAAAAAGTTGGGTAAAAAGTCATTATTCCTAACGAGCTCTTATTTCGCAATGCTCTGTGTTCAGTGTTGCAATCGATCCGATTCAAAGTGACACCTATTATTATTTGTTATCGAGCAATAAAATTTAAAATTAAAAGCATTATTATTTTAAAGTATACTTACAGTTTATGTTAGTCTGAAAATTTTCTCTTCGAATATCTTTGTTATTCTGTTTGAAACAATTTAATGTGTGAATGCGAAATAATTCACTTTTTCTTACGCCTTAAATGTATTATGTACTAACCTTAGTTCAAAATTTTAAAAAACAAAAGCTAGACATGTACTGAATTAATTATTAAAACCTTCGTATTAACAAAAGATAAAAACAATAGCGACGCAATCAACGGGTTGTAATGTGTTTGTTTTACTATTGTACATGGTGTCGTCTTACTTGTATTGTGGTCTCGATTGATTACTATTGTTTTATCGATATTTAAAAGACATTCTTCAAGTTTTGGGCTCATTGAGCTTTTTCTTTCTTTTGATTTTAAAGGCGATAGGTCATATAATATACATGCATTTGCTATTTACTTCAATATTTCGTATTAAGAAAATGTTCGACTTGTTTCTTTAATCTTACTCTCCTGCGTATCGGTCGAATGTTTCATTTCCGCTTACTTCCAGTACTTATACAAAATATTTTAGCATTTATAACTAAATAAAAACACAATCATGTAGTAAAGTCTCAGCTTTAGTTTTTATTCAATAATCTGTTTATAAATAAATATGTTGTTAATCAGAATTATAAATGTATTACATCCTTACATATACGAGTAAATTTCACTCGAATAAGGTTATATAGATAATGATAATACATTCTTAACAAAAATATATATATGGCATTATAAATTATTTTAAGTTATCTTTTAGTTCTATAGATAGAAATCGTATGAAATGACTGAACATACTCAAATGTCAGTTTTTATTTTCTTAAACGGACTGATTTCTTTTTTCTGAACCATATCATCATTAACTTCAACATAACTTTTATATTCTCTTTTTCTCTTGCTTGATGTCCATTTAGTTCCTTTCTTCCATAGTTTATCTAATTCCGAATCATTATCGTACAGCCAATCTTCTGGAAAGAATAGTTCTGTATGTAAGCTTATAATGTCATACTCAACATGTTCTAACGTTTTTACACTTTCACTCTTAGTTGTTTCAGACTTAAAATCTGTATAGTCATTGCAATAATCAGTCATTGAGATGGACACATCATTATCATCTGTATTATGCAGTATGTCATTACATATTAAGTGTTTATTATCATTTGTGATGCTTGCTGTTGATTCACCCTTCTCATTATTTAAGATGTTTACAGAAGTATTGTCCATAGAAGATTGTGCGCACGAAAGAATTTGAAGCTGCTGGACTCTATCGTCAACAGGTGCAACTTTTCTCTTATTTGTTAATATACTTTCAAAAATATTAGAGGGCTTGACTTTCAACAAAGAGTCACAATCTTTTTTATTTTCAGAAGTAAATTCGTCCTTATAATCAACCTTAAGTGGCGCAATATCAATTTGTTTTCTCAAATCATCAACATTGATGTATGAACAATTCACCGAGTTCCCCACATCATCAAATCTATCAACGCTATTTGTTTCACTTAGACTTTTAGATGATACAAGTTCATTTTCCTGCTCGATAGTCACTTTATTTTCATTTGCTTTGCAGCTGGGTTCTTCCATAATTATATTTTGAAATAATTTAACAGGCGTCTGCGATCTTTGAATGTTTAGTTTTATTGTGGACATAGTTAACTTCGGCCGCATGACTGCCTCCCATTTGTACTGCCATCCCTAAAATATACATCGAAAAAATATATCTCTTTAATAGCAACTTCAAGGTTAAAGTAATGGTATCTTTTTTATAACATAATAATCTAACTTTTATTAGCATTAAATGATGAAAATAAATTTTAAAAAACGACAAATATAAAAATTAAGATATCAAAAAAAAAAAAAAAAATAGAATTGCAGCATTGTTGTAAATATAATTTTGTTATATATTTCAAATAAATGAAATTTTAGCTAAAATGTACATATTCCGAGGTCTGAATATTCAAAAAGAAAAAAACACAATAGCCCCATATTTATATACAAACAAAACCCCACGCTAAAACTGTTAAACCATCACAAGAAGCTACTAGACATAAATACATCCCAAAGACGATAGGAAAGTTGAATAATGAATAGTCAGAGCATGGTTGTTGTAGTCTTGTTTGTTGTGTGTGACAGGGTATTAAATGTACAAAAAGAACAAAGAAAGCAAAAAGGGTAAGTATTTTGTGTCAGATTTAGAAAAAAAACATGAGTCCCGCTAAGGCGGGGCAATATACGCCCGAATAAAAATTTGTTCGAAGAATCAAATTTTTTCTTTCAATTACAGAAAAGACGCTTTCTCAAAACTTGACCGAAAATGTTGTCAATACTAATAGGAGCATTTTGACTTAATGTACTTAATTTTTTAAAGTTTTGATAATGTCTATACCAGGCAATGCTTCATGACAAATATATGAGATCTGGGCATTATTGTTTTTGCACAAAAAGACTGCATGTATTTTCTTATACATTAGTCTACATAAAGCATATGGCATTAATTTTTTAGAATAATAACGTTATTTCTTTTCATGCAATTTAAGATAAATATCTTAAGTTTAAGTTTTCAGATCATTCGTTCACACTTTTTCCCAGAAAAAATATTCTTATTGAGAAAAATGACCTATAAATGGGGTTTGCAATTTTTTTTTTTATAAACTTCAAGATATGTTTATCATAGAAAGTTACATAAACTAAGTGACCCCAGGACGGGGCAAAATTCTATCCGATGGTTTTCATTTACATTACGTTTTTATAGAGGCCCAAAAGTCAATGCTATATGAAAAATATCTAAGCTCTGGGCATAGTAGTTTCACACAATAAGACTTTAATGTATTTCTCTATATAAGTCTATTAAACAAGTCAATAAATATTTACCCAAGGGCAATTACTTACATGAGTTTTGAAGAAGTCCACAAGATAATGGCATATGTAAAATACCTTAAAGCTGGTAATTGTAGTTTCACACAAAAGGCGGTATTTCCCTACATAAATATAATTAAATCAAATGACCCCCGGGACGAGACGGCCATTATTCACCCATGAGGCATGACTTCCACTTATTTTGTACAGGTCAAGGAAATGCTTAATGTCAAGTATCTTAGATATGGGCATTGTACTTTCATACGATATGACTTGATAGTCTATATAAATTCTATATAAATCAAGTGAGCCCCGGGGCGGGGTCAGTTATAATCTGAGGAAACTCGAACAAACGTTTTGCTCATCGTCTCACTATAAGTTACATTTCTGCCAAATAGTTTTAATTTCCTTCCATCGGTACAAAAGATACAGAGCTGACACAAAATTTTGTAATTAACAAATAAATGTTAAGTGTGACCTTGATCTCAAGAAGATCAAACCTACGTGCTACAATTTTTCTCACTATAATAAACATTTCTCCCGGGTAGTTGTAATTTCCTTCCATCGTTTCAAAAGATACCAGTGGGACACGGAACAGACGGATGGATGCAGGTGGATGGATGACCAGGTGCATAAACATATTCGCAAAATGACTTTCAGGCGTGTAAAAGTCGGAACATTTGAATGAATTTGCAGCAAACATATCGTGTTTAAATTGTACCATGGATACATTTAATCTTCAAAATGTGGTGACGTTGGGCGAACTAACTGTGGCTTATCTCTTTTACTGGTCTTTGGTTTTCTTTTCATCTTTTCACGTTCAATAATGTCTAAACTACTAGAACTTCCTTTTCCTACACCGTTCAATCCTACATAGAATTTATTTCTATTTTTGAAATACTCCATGTCTTCTCTTGAACTATCAGGAATCTTTGGTGTTTTTGTGAACCATTTTGGGTCCCTTTCTTTTTCCCTTTCTTTTGGAATAGAAGCAATCAGATTCTTTATGACTAGAAAAGCATCATCTCCTTTCGGTGATTTCTTGTTCTCCATTAGCCAAGCAGGGTCGTCAAAAATGCTTGCATTAGATGCACTTAAATAACTATTTCTACTACTTGTGTTTTGCAAAGAGCCCTGAAAGCGAATATCACCTACCGATGCGGTACTGTGAGATGTAAAAACTGTTGACAGGGCTGTAACGTCACCACCGCTCAAAATTCGGGTTTGATTTGGATGTTCCTTTGGCTTTTTAGATGGGCTAACTCTACCTTTATGTGACAATAAGGTATTTTCTCTAGACAGTGGATTTTCTTTAATTGTGTCTAATTTAGATTCATTACCAGGCATTGGTATTGACTCAATTGACCTCATTCTAGGAGAGCCTCCAAATTTTCCTGTGCTTGCAGGAATACTTGGTGTGGCGTGTGACTTTTCAGTATACTTTGGTGTAACGGGGCTTCCTGATTGTTCTTCCATTTTATCCAGTTTGTTAAATATTCGAGGACTGTCCTTGAATGGAATATCTATGCTCTCAGGTAAGGATGTTGATAGAGTATAAGCTTTGTCTAAATCGGATAATTCATCAAAACGAGAAATTCCACTATCACTTGGGAAAGACTGTCGCATTCGCTTTAACATTTCTTGTGTCAGTCTGGGAGAAGTTTCACATTGATCGGTTTCCCACTTCTTCTGCCATGCCTGGAACATAATATGATAGTAGAATTAAAGTAATAATTTTTTTCATTGCCATTTTACGCACATGACATTTATTTTGACTGTAAAATATGGACAATGTTATCACAATGAAAGTTCTAGAAGATCAAAGTCATAAAAATTGAGTTCAACTATTTCAGCGGAATAAAATACAAATATTACTTCTTTCTTTGGAGGAACGTAAGTCTGTCCATTCACTATAACGATTTTATCTTTCTCCTCTTTATGAAGTCCTGATATAATTTCCTCAGTACTTTTCTTTTTGATATCGCCCTTATCTAACTTTTCAACAGACGATGCTCTTCCAAGCGATCGTGGAGTATATTCAGTTATGGAAAGTTGTTTCTTTCTCTTCCGAATCTTAGGAGGAGGTACTGGCGAAGGTTTTCTCCACACTTTTATGTATAAAATAACCACTACTATAATGATGATGATAATAATGCCTATTACAACACAAACAACTATGATTATTGTAGTGTAATCCCTTTCTTCTGGTGGTGTATACACTGAAATAATAATAAATCATGTATCATATTTCAAATTCAAAATGTTTTTTTTTCTGTAATTATAAGCATGTAGGTAAAAAACTAATAATAGGTTAGCCTAGCTTGATAAAAATATCAGCTTCTTGTACATATTTTAAAAGATTCTAAAGTTGTAAAGTATTTCGCAGATGTTGGTGGTATATTGGACTGGAAAGTCTTATAATGACTTTATTTTATCTTGATTGTGGGGAAAACTTTACCTTATGTGAACAAGTTTCAAGTTCGCTTCCTGGCACTTACCAGTACTCGCACCATAGGAGAACAAATAATAATGAACCAAATAACGCTCGAACATTCGACCCTTTCGTGGAGTGGCAGACACCTTAACCGGTAGGTGACTCTTGTTAAGTTTATACATGTTACACTTGTCTGAATAGTGATAATATTCGATAATTTTGGTATTCTGTTGTTTCGTTTCTGTATATGTTAAGTTAAATATAGAATCATTGTTCACAGCACTTACACAGATCAATCATAACATATGTGACTCCCGTTGAATTTACGGTAGATGGCGTCTGAGAAAAATGACAACTCTGGGGATTCTCAGTAACTCTTAGTGTTTCTGCATCCTTTTCAAATGTCTGACATGTAAATATATACATGTATTGACAACATTCGATACATCAATGAAAATATTTTTATGTTTTCGAAAAGAGCACGAATGAATAACTATTTTGTTATTTTCATGTAAAATTTGTTAGGACATACATCCGCTGAAGTAATTCTTTTATGAGAAATCAAAAATATTAAAAAAGATCTTTGTTAAATTATTGTTCATCATTTTTACTATGTATGTTTTCTTTATTTTAATAATATGTAAAATATTGAAAAGAACCGTGTAAGGGTTACTTACAAAACAAGATGAGAAATCAAAAATATTAAAAAAGGTCTTTGTTAAACTATTGTTCGTCATTTTTTTTACTATGTATGTTTTCTTTATTTTAATAATATGTAAAATATTGAAAAGAACCGTTTAAGGGTTACTTACAAAACAAGAGAACAAAAATGTAGAAGTCTCGTCCGTGTTGGTATCATTATTATACAGTGTAACATAATTGTATCCGTCTGTTTTACTGTAGATACACTGTAAATAGCCTCCACCTACAGCATGATCACTTCATGTAGTTTTAAAGTATGTCAGTGTATGTACCAGTGTATTTTAAAAAGCATATTAATTTCAATCTGATATAAATTATGAACTAATAATATCATTTTGTATAAAAGTCATTCAAAACAATGAGTGTGTTTTTATCTACGCACGAGATACTTAGTCGTTTACGCCGTAGGACCGAGATACTATGTCGTGGCGACGAGTAACTAAGTCGTGAGAACGAGATACCTAAACCCTGCGTGCGAGATAATCAGATTACACTATAATATATATTTTAATTTTTTAAATTTAGAAAATATTCTGTTTAAAGTTTTACATAATCTTTGAAAATACTGAAAAAAATAAACTTGAAACATGTCTTTAGGATCATTTCCAAGGCCCATAATTCAGACATTGATTTTGACTAACTTATAGCCCTTTGTGGGGTCAATTCTGTGATAGAATTTGTCAGTTTGTATGTACAACGGCCTACGATACCTAGAGGGTTTATTTTATTTGGTAGGTAAGGACATTGCCCATGGACAGTAGATAGCCTATAAGGATGTTTGAGGTCCATGGGCAAGGTAACCATGACGCTTCATGTATTAAAATCCTTGTCTGATGAATAATTTAGGAGGAATAAGCCATGGTTTATATAACCTAGAAAGATCCTTGCACCTTATCAGTAGATGGCACCTAATAATTTTGAGGTCATTCGGTTAAAATCAGAGTCACAATGACCATAAATGTAACATTATTGACCAATCAATAACGTGTATAAATGGCACTTTTAAAGGCAGGTGAAGTAGGGGCATCCTTGTTCTATAGCACATGTCTAGGTTATTCGGAAAATTCATATAAATAGTGTCATATGATTGGTCATTTATCTCGTTCCCACGACATAGTATCTCGTTCCCACGACGTTAATTATCTCGTACCCACGACTTAGTAACTCGTGGACACGATTTGGTATCTCATTTTCAATTTTGTCGTGTTGGGCTGTCTTTAGGGATTCTTATTTTCTTTATTTTATCGCCACCTCAGCGTTGTTTGTGCCGTGTGGAGGCTGTAAAATGTCGCCCCGTACATTCAATCAGAGATGTTATATTTCCGATCCTTAAAGATCGTTCAGCACGATATCATTGTCGTGCTTGTGGTAATTTAGTTCTTTCTATTCGGCTTTTTTCTTGTTGGGTGGTTCCAATATTCTTCACTTGAATACCGTTGAATCACCCTTAAGATATGTGGCCTGCCTTTTAAATTTGTCTTTTGACGTTTTATATGTGATATGCAGGCTTCATAACCTCTGATCCCCTTTCAAAATTCCATTCTATTTAGTTCCGCCCATTGTTTTCTCGTTTAGGGCACACGCATATTTTTTACTTGGGGACCATATGCCGCTTTTCATGGAATGGCACTTATGTGTCACATTGTCGGTTCCATGATAACCGCCATATGAACACATCTGGGGATGTTTCAAAATTCAAAATTGTACCAGTTCATGTTAAATGTTGAATTCTGATTAAGCAGGTGCTAGGGGACGTGGACGGTAGTTGAACTTGACAGTACCGTCTATGAACAAGCTCAATCAAACCGAGCCTACAACATTTTTAATTTTGTCGTGTTGGGCTGTCTTCAGGGATTCTTATTTCCTCTGTTTTATCTCGCGCCCACGACTTAGTAACTCTTGGCCAAAACATAATATCTTATGGCTACGACATAGTATCTCGACTAATTATCTCGAGGGCATGCCTTAGTAACTCGTGGCCATGACAAAGTATCTCGTGCGCACGAGATATATAAAAACACACACACACATGTCACCTTTGTACCACAGTAGTTAGATAATATTTACATGCTAAGATAAAAACTGCTAAAGGATGGTGAGTTGCGAGTAAGTCTTATTGACTTATTCGTTGACCTTCTTTAATTATAGACTCGATCAGTGATTATAGAAATAGACAGAAATCAGACATTTCCAATTTAGGCCTTCTCACAGGAGCGAAGACTCAAAAAAAACATTTTAATGGTTTACTTACTATTAAGGTGGCCAGTTACACAAGCTGAGTAATTAAACACGAGAGCACCACTTGATCCCTCCATTTGTGATCCTTTACACTCGGTTACACTCCTAGTTGTCATGGTGACATTAAATGTTGATTGTAGATCACTGGGACATGATGTCAATGCATTCATCACCTCGTCTGTTTTGTGAATTTAATGAGTTACGAATGTGAGAAAAACAAAATATTATTTCAATTCTTCTGAAATATTTAAATGCCGAATATCTAGAAATTATTCATCCATTGATGAGTAAGAACTTGATCTCACTGAAAAAGTGTAAAGGTGTACTTAGTTTCAAACTTAAAACGCAGAAAAATAATCATGGAAAGATTTAACATCTACCTTGCTTGATCAGAAGCTCATACTCTCCGGCAGTGCGGGAATCGCTACGACTACATGCTTGTGACAGACTCACAGTGTCACCTGAAGCAGCTGGAGAGTAAAATCTCACACCGGACCCAGAATCTAGATCTACAACACAACAAATGTAAATATCATCTATATCAATTTTATACGTCAATCATTTTACCATTAGTCTGTGGAAAACATTTTATTAGTTTAAACAGGTTCTGTTAATAGTTTTGTTTTTCAATTTTTTAAAGGTTATTTTCAAAGTTAAATGTCTGAATAATAGCTTAACGTATTAACTAATTTAAATGACATGGATAGTTGATAATGACTATAATAACTCACTGCTATCCAAAGTAAAGTAGTATTTGATTGATGAGATTTGCTGCAAATTCATACATAGATAAACATCTACAACAATATTCGCCAACAAGTTGTAGGATGTCCTGAAACATAAACATTCGTGAAAAACATAGGAACATACACTACAGTCATAACTATGATTCAATGATTAGAAAGGCTGAATGCGTTTGTGGTAAGCTGTCCGTATATAAAACGATAACAAAAAGTTGAATATTCACAAAATTGAGTGCACAAACAAAGAAATAGAAATAGTTTCTATCTTTACATCAGTATTAACATGGCGACTTTTTTTTTATATCTCTTCCTTTTTTTATTTCAGAAAGAAACAAAAATTCTGATACAAAGTGTACCATAAAAAGGCTAGATTGATTGACAGCACTTAAGAATTTAAATACACAATTTTGATTTGAATATATAGCCATCAATCATATTTACATGTAATTGCTTAGAATATATCTCTGAGTAACAAATAAAATATACTTACATGGACACATATTGGGATCCTGATGAATCAAAACAGGTGAATGTTAATGGTGTTGCAGACAGATCCGATGTAAAACCTGTAAATGTTTGGTTATTTATAAAATTGAGTGTCCCAAAGCTTGTGCTGTACCATTCACCAGTCAAATCGCTAGGAAAAGTGCACACACCTAGGCAGTAGGAATAGCTTCCGAAAATAACCATAAATTGTAATACTAAACTCATCTTATATATCACTACTTCCTAACTTTTATATTGCTTTTATTATATCATTATAAAATACTATTCAGTAATAAAGACTGTTAATATATGTATTTAAATGTCAACATATATGGTTTCTCTTACGACCGATTACTCGTGGATCTAAATTGACCAAAGATCTTCCAATTTGAAATTAATTAGTATCAACTTTCGCCGTTTTAACGCGATTTTCTTTTGATCAGCCAGTCGAGATTTTTCAACACAATGAATAAAAACAAAAGATCATAATGCATTTGTTCATAATTTTGAATAGTGAGCGGTATGTTATTTGTACTTTTACTTAGTTTTCATTGGATATGTGAAATACAATCTTTTGTCAAAAGTTAAATATAGATATTTTAATTCTATTTGGTCATTGAAGATGAAAGTTAAAGTTAAGATAGAAATTTCTTTTTTTAACTACGGGGGGGGGGGAGGTGTTGGGTATCAACTTACTTAAATTAATTATTACCCTTTAACTAGAGCTATCCCTGTAAAGACGGACTAGGTGAAAAGGAAACGTCGTCTATTCATTTAAACTACAGTTGCATGTATTTATTGCCAAAAGGGCGAAAGTATTTCAGGCGAGTATGTTTTCTTAAAGATCATAAATCAATTCTACAAAACATACAAATATTTTCTTTTGATGTTATGAACGTATTTCATTTTCATAATTGAATACAACATGCGCAACTTTTCTCAGTACTGGATAATATGGTACAAGCAAAGTAGAAAGACGTGGGTAGGGGTGTTGGGCTAATTCTGCATAACAGCTTGGTCAATTCACCTGCGCTTGCGTTTTTCAAGACTTAAGTGAATATTTGTGATGTTGTTAGAAAGGTTCGGAATATATGTATATTCTGATTTAAAAAATGAAATAATTAAGCTCTCCGATAGTTTTTGAGATATGAACTATAATGGAATAAAAAATTTAACCCGTGCAAAAGGGACATTACTCTAATTTAGAATAAATCCCCTTCTAATACTGCGGTATATTGTGCACGCACGCACGCACGCACACACACACACACACACACACACACAAACGGCGACAAAACCGTCATCACAATAGTTCCATTTTATTTCTTCGAAAAGTCTAGCCAACCAATAAAAAATTATCTCAATTGAATACAAGTTCTATAATAAGAAATTACACCGTTGCAGTAGGTCTTATGCACAACCTTGTTGGTATTTTTTGTTGTTGACAGAGGACAGTCACCATTTCCGTGTGTTTTGGAGTCCAATTGTTAATGATATACAGTCATACACTTCATCCGTTATTTCAGGGGTTTGCCTTGAACAATTTGTAATTTCATCGTTCTTTTGGCATGTTTTACTGGCGTCCGCGCCGAAGCGCGACGCCCCTTATGGATCGAAATCAGATTTTGTGAAAGGGCGGCAGCAACTTCTTGGGCCTTTCTTCGGTCATAATAGCCGATCATTCCGATTGGTATGAGGGTGTTTGATTATCAAAAATGAAATGTCGCGAAAAATGAATAGCGAACTGGAGACTTTCGCAATGCAAACATATTCAAATGAAATTATCTTATCCGTCAATTAATCGCGGTCTTCGGGGGTTTTTTATTAATCATTTTGTAGTACAAACAGTGGGTTATTGTGTATTACTGTACCGATAAATAGAATGATGACCTTAACATTGTGAAAGTCCGAAAATCTATTTATAGAAGTAGTTTTAGTTTAATGAAACGGTCATTCGTGTCGCGCTATGGTTATAAATAATGAACAGGATAATTTTGCAGGAAATGAAATATGAAAAAATGAAACATATTCAAACAACTAATTGCACTTTGGATGTTATAGACCTGTATATTTTGGATATTATCGTTAATATTGATAGAATTCAAGTTCCTGTGGAAAATAAATATTCTTATTTCTAGCATGCCTACCAAAGTTCATGATGAACAATGTCTTTCGTCCGCCCATTCAAAAATATTTTACAATTCTGGTAAAAACCAATTATCCATTGAAAAGTTTATAAGAATATCTGGTCATCAGATGTCTACTAGTTCATCTTCACTTGCTGTATTTTTGCATGGACGCCCTTTGATGCTTTGCATCAATGCTTTTCTTGGTTATATATAGTATAGCGACGATATGTATAGCAGGATATCAACCGAGTAAGTGTATTTTACGGTGGCACAAAGGTGACATGTGTAGATACTATGTCGTGGCCACGAGTTACTCACTCTTGGCCACTAGATAGGTAAGTCGTGACCACAATATACTATGTCGTGGCCACGAGTTTCTAAGTCGTGGGAACGAGATAATTAAGTCGTGGGCACGAGATACTTGTAGTGCCAACGAGAAACTATGTCGTGGCCACGAGATAGCTAAGTCGTGGGAACGAAATAAATAAGTCGTGAGAACGAGATAAATAAGTCGTGATAACGAGATACAATGTCGTGGTCACGAGTTATTAAGTAATGGGCACGATATAATTAAGTCTCTCAGTATCTCGTGCCCACGACTTAATTATCTCTTTCCCCTGACTTAGTAACTCGTGGCCACGACATAGTATCTCGTTCCCACGACTTATTATACTCGTTCCCACGACTTATTTATCACGTTCCCACGACTTAATTATCTCGTTCCCACGACTAAGTAACTCGTGGCCACGACATAACATTTTGTGGTCACGACTTAACTATCTAGTGGCCACGAGTCAGTAACTCGTGGCCACGACATAGTATCTCATGCGCACGAGATAAATAGAAAAAAAACACACGTCACCTTTGTACTATGTCGTGGGGACGAGATACTATGTCGTCGCCACAACTTAGTAACTCGGGCCACGACATAGTATCTCGTTCCCACGACTTATCTCGTTGCCCGTGGCCACGACTAAGTAACTCGTGGCCACGACATAGTATCTTGTGCGCACGAGATATGAGACAAATGTCATCTTTGTGCCACCGTAGTATTAGCTCTCGAGGTGTTTCATGAAATTCGTGACCAGGTCTTTAAATAGATATTTCCTAAATTGAAATATCGATGTACGAGACCGATATGCAACTTACACATCGTCATAGTACTTGCTTGAGCAATGGCTGCTGATAACGACACAGACAAGCGCTTGATATAATACACAAAAATTATTGTTATTTGCTCGGGGACTTGACATTGATAATATTGCGACTATTTCTATTCATGAAAAGGTTTGTCCAGGCAGTATCTCCTAGCACCAAATTACATTCTGGAAAAGACTTTAAAGGTTTATAGACAAGTACGTTCATGTCCCAGACAAAACAATTCTGAACTGAAAGACTTATCTCAAGTTCCCCATTATAATGCATTTCTTATACCCAATCTGAATATATTCCGTTTCTCCAGCCTAAATTTTAGTACAATCCAGTAACCCTTGTTTTTTTTGTCTACGTGAACCAAGTGTACTTGCATAACTGTTCTTTATTTGAAATAACCCCTTTTTCTAAACAAGTGTGTATCACACTATGCGTTATTATCAATATAGCATGTTACTGGTGTATATATAACAGCTGAGGAACGTCAAATCACCGAACCTTGCGATAACAAAATACTAAGCATACCATTTTCTTAAATTTTATTTATACATGCAAAACAAAAACACTGGTAAATATTTAATATCACAGATAGCATAATAAAATCAAAATACATAAAACACAATGTTTTATATATATATATATACACACACACCACTACACCAGTACATACTTATGTCAGTATGTAGGATAGGTGAATGTTTCATGTCTCGGGCCAATATTGCCATTGTTGTAGAAAATGTGTTGACGATGCAAGTTAAGTTCTTAGAACTACTGGTGTATCACTCGCCGACAAAAGAACATTGCGAGTACGATACTGAACGTTAATGGTTCGGGTACTGCTCAGACATTAAATATATCGCAGTTCATTTTAGTATGATCAATATATTTGAATATGTTCATGTAAATCACAAGACTCGCCATTTTTCGGAATATTTGTATAATAATTATGAGGATCAATTCACTAATCAACTCTACACAGTAATAAATGTCTTGTACATGTTTATGAAGTAATAAGAGAAATTGTACAAATTTTCCACCGTACCACACACGAATGCTACAATTATCCAAAAAGAAATCTTGAAGAATAATAAAACTATTTATTACAAAAAATACCAGTAGGCAGCTAGCTAGGCAGCTAGGTTATTATCATGCAAGCTGTATTCAATTTATGAAATACATTAAAAAACATTTAAACCAATAAAACAATAAGTAAAAACCTAGCGAAGTTTAATCAATATTTGGTCAATAAAACCATGCCATATATAATCAGTCTGTCTGTCTGTCTGTCTGACATTATTATAAACTTTTTGTGAGTATTTACCAATAAAAAAGTTACTTTACATTCAATTATTTCAAACACCAACATGTATGTGCAACAAAAAACAGATTGAATTTGTAAACCTTTTCACGAAGTTACTATGTAGCGATACCACGTGACCGTACATATTATTTCAATCCATTAAAAGCTGACCTGGATGGAAGATTTTGATAAAAACAATAGAAAACAATGCCACAGGCATAAAAGCATAATGCTTTTTTTAAGATCATATGTTGGGGTAGGTTTTTTATAATAATTGACCAGCCTCCTGGACATGTGAGCGGATAGGGATTGGGAGTGTGTTCCCTGCCATAGACTTTGGACAAAAATATTTGTCCCAACTGAGAAATTTTTTAAAAAATCTGTCGTTAAAAATTGTGTCGTTTCTTTGACATTTGGCAGCTTCTATTTAACAACCCTATTATATATTTTGTTCGTTTATAATTTACCTCATCCAGTTATATTATTAATCAATCAATGAATCTATTTTAGATATTTGACAGGACAGATTTAAATTCATTCAAAGCAAATTTATGCAGTAGCCATATATAAACGATTATTAAAACAAGTGATCGATCATTTTATTTTAAAATCTGTACAAATGATTTTTAGTAAACCAACTTAAAGGGAACTAATAGTAGAAAAAATGCTTGAATTCTGTCACGTCATCTTAACATTTTTAAGGAACTTATAAAGAAAACCCCCAAGTTATTAGTAAAACAAGTTATTAAAATGCAATTCCTTTAACATTTTCTTTTTAAAACTCTTCCCTTTTTCAGTTATTTTAAATCACAATTTCCAAATTCTTATTAACAGCTTTAGTACAGAATAGAAAAGAAAAATATAGATAATGAAATATATTGTACTGTGTAAGGCACATATTCGCCACATTTTCATTATATGTTTGGAAAGTAACAAGCTAATCAAATATGCCGTCTTGGCAAATTGATCGATCTATGTGGATGATTATATGAGAGTACACTACGGCTAATAACGCATGAAACTAACACGAAAATACCCCAGCCTAGCCCGTCAAAATATCTTTGGGCCAAGCTGGGGCTTGGGGTGGGGGATTTCCAGTCCTGAAGCCCGGACCCGTAAAATTAATTTTTATTTAAGTATTAAAACATTAGCTAAACGAATTAAAACTTTGAAGAAGCTCACCTTTTATTATGTGTCGTGATGGAGGCGATATTTCTGCTTGCATGTATGAATTGCAGAGGATTGTGCAATAAAATAGTTAAAATACAAATAAGGCATGCAAGGATTATGTTAACCAAACATCTCGAATAAAAGATTCAAAATATACTGAAAGACATTGGATGGATGTCATCCAACGAACGATGTATTTTCCTACTGGAATTCTTATTTACAAAGCTTTTAATAACATAGTCCCTCCATACATATCGAAATTTTGAATTTTTCCAGGGATGAAATTCACGACATCGGGAAATTGGGTTAGCTGCAATAAGCAGTCATGTACAAAGACAAAATAGTCAAAGGATTATATGCTTTGTGTATTGGGTTTATTCAATAGTAAAATGATATATAATATTTAATGAACATTTCATATATCTAAAACGGAAACTGTATTATCAGTTTTTTTATTACTGCTGTTGTTTACATTAGTTTCCTCTTCTTTATATCTCAAACTAAGCTGGCTAAGAAAAACAGATGTCCTAAACATCAGTCTGCTACTGGTTGGTCTTGGTTCTACGTCATATAATAGCTCCACCTTCGGTGGCGGTTCCAGATATGGTTCTATGATTGGTCCAAGCTTAATGGGTTTCCTAGCAACAAACACGCCCGGTGATTGATTAATACGCCTCGCAGCGCGCAAATATGGTTCCATGCCGTCTTCTATTGATGACGTCAAAGATGATTCGGAGTGGCCTATTTTTGACTTTCTGCACAGTTTTGTTAAACAGCGACACTTTGTCTTACAAATTATGCAGATAATAAGAACAAGTAAGATGATAAACGCAAAAGCACCTAAAATTATTGCAACGTAGTACAAAGTTTGAGGCCCACTTTCAACCGTATCTTCTGAAATGGTTTATAAGAAGATCGTGAATGAACGATAAAACATCACTGTGACATGTTAAAATTACATCTTTAGAAAGTTATAGAAAAAATAAAATAAATAGAGTGTCTTGATTGTTTTATCCTCCTGCTATTTATTTACTTGAAAACACAAATTTATGTACATGCATCTACAAACCATTCGCCATTTTATTGAACAGTATATTGAAAGATTATGTTAATTTTATTAGGATAACACATATGTATATGGTATATCACCTAGAATATGTTGTTTATAATTCGTCTTTATACTTACGGCATGTTCCTGTAAATAGATGACAAATAAAACAATCAAATCATATACATATAATTGAATAAGTAGGTTAAACAAATCATTTAGCTGTTCAGCGGAGGAATTGAGCATTTTACACTAGTAATAATGTCAGCTCATAAACTAAATGCAATGTATCACATAGATCTATATAAAAGTAAACAGATATGAACTTTTATAGCAACATAAATCTTGATAGAGCTAATGCACAGATATCCAGATTTCAAATTCTATTTTATTATATACCTACAACGTATGTCAAATTAATCCAAAAACAAAAATGTTGAATCAGATGAACGTTCATACAAATTGTCTGATTAATTGTGAAAAAGTATACAATTAACCTACAGACTGCATAAAAATATAAATTCAACTGCAACAGAAACCCTGCATAAATACACTCACTTGTGATAGTGTTGTACTGGACGTTTATACCCGGGTCAGACACTTCCGTTGATGTTTGTTCAGGTAGACAAGCTCCCGGATATAACGTTGCTGTCAAAACGTTTCCTGACTTCTCAAATGCCTAAAACATGTTATTGTTATAGTATAGCGATGAGACGTGGAAATATCATGGCATCCCAGGTTTTCTCTACAGCAGAAAATGATCTCGGCCTTACTGCCTCAAAGTCAAGATTGACGTGATATAAATGTATTGTCGCATGATAAGCAGATATGAAAATTGGATTAGACACACAATTTTAATGTGTATTTCTTTACCCATAATGAATCGAAATAACGGTTTCCTTTGGTATAACCTATATGTAAATAACCATTTATTTATTTATTTATTTTTTGATAGGGCGACCACTAAGACACATACATTATTGTAATAAACTGAGACGCACAAGTAATATGCTCCCCGTCGAATGATCAGATTTTAAAATCTTTTTCTATGAAAATGAATACAGTGAAAGTTGAGAAAACCGTACGGCTTTCGGACCAAGGGTTTTGTCCGGTTTTCTCAGCGGTCCGGTATTCTCAATGTCCCCTTCAGCTGTTCAGAATCATATAAACTGAGCAATGACTTACAAAGGATGCTGAACGTATATTTGCATTTTCATGATTATGAGTAAGTATATTGCTAAATAAAGAAATGATAAAAATTCTATACAATATGTTTTAATTGTTTTTGTCCCATTATTGCATATAAATACAATAAAATTTTGGATTAAACTAACAGCAGTTATCTCATAACGATAAAGTCCGATTACACCCGCATATATTTATATTTGGGTAATGGATAATGATTTAACGAACATACATGTGGTTTACTTTGTTTGCTTATAATAATTCCTCAATTGTAAATATTGCCTATACCATATTTGTCAGATAACGATTTTTAAAGTAGGTATTGGCAAAGTTTCAATGTTTTTAATTAATTTAGATTTGTCACTTATAGACAGCTCTCGTCAACTGATTTTAACTTATCAATTCCTTGTGCATTTTGGCATTTATATAAAACAGTAACATCTAAACCAACTGTGAAATGAGACATAATTAACAAATCAGACAATCATTGTTCCGTTACCGCTCTATTAGCGTATTAGACACAACCAATTGATAAGTACACAAGGTTATTCACACCTTCGTCGTCCGGTATTGTCAGGGTAATTGTCTATATAATTGACTTTGTAGTCCCCTATCAACCGTCCGATATTCGGTTTTTACAGATTCCGGTATTGTCAATGTTTAATACAATAGTTTAAAGAAGGGAAAATTTGGGACTGAATTGTTCGTCCGGTATTTAGAGAGTTCCGATTTTCTCAGCGTCCGGTTTTATCAAATTTCACTGTATTTGTTATTATCCTAGGAACTTGAAAGTGATAAAATTGCGAGTATTGCTTCTCTGGAACATGTTGGTATTTCAGTCTAACCTACGCAAGTAAACAAATAGTATGCTTGGAGTGTATTCCAATATATCGAGTAAAAGTCCACCATTAATAGATATAAAAGTGAACAGTACATTATTTATTAATTCATTGTTGTAGAAAACGAAAGTACATACTGTCTACCCGTTGACAATAATTCAGATTTGGTTATAATTGTACACCAGAGGGTAAATTTATATTGATTATGAATGTCACACATATTTCCAATCACAATCTTACCAAACTAGATTTTATTTTCCCTTCGATGCCAAATATAGGCCGATTTGAAAAACCAAAGCCGATGACGACAAAGGAATGTTATGTTTGAAAATAAAACAAAAATATAATTTGCTGTATGGCGAGAATGGGAGCAGAACCGTATAAACAACCACATAAACCAACCAGTATTGAGCAATGAGTGAAAAGTTTCTTGCTTTGCCCCTGAACCCTCGCAACTAGAGATCCTTAGATTGCTAGTCCGTCATGTAAACCACTCGGACATGCCGTCGCATCAATTTTCACATTTGGGACCAGCATTTACATGTTCATTTTATGTTTTCAGATTATACTGTATGTTATTTCACCTAATTTGCAGAACTCCGCGTTAGAACGACATGTCACGCGCTGTAAGTATCACTGTCACTTATTCTTCTTACAAAACATTACATATTGGATATATTATAAATTTAATTGAAATTTGCCTCTCTAACTGGAGCAAACTATACAGCATGCTACTGGCATCATGTAATTGCTGAGATATGTCATAAACCAGTACTTTGAGACGTAATCGATAAACGTTGATGTGATTGATGGGATGGAAGACATACTGACAAGTTGAAAGTTTACAATTAATCGTCAGAGTCAAAATTAATTATATCAAAAACTGAAGGAACAGCAAATATTCTTACATAACAGTTTATCCGCATGATGTCGGCAGACAATGTTGTGTCATTGTTCCACACGTGCAAATACGTCACACCGGAAGTGTCATTAGTCTGTTCCAACAAACAAATATTCATTCCTTCACCTTTTGACAGAAAGAAACATAAAATATATAAATACAATGTTTGTTTAAACAAACCACAAAAGTTATCATTTGAATGATTCAACACTGCTTACACAACAAGGACCATATATACAATTAAGTGATTTTTATCGACTCATTTTAATAAATATAAAAACGAAATCTTTTAAAATCTAATATATTCATCATTAACCTATTGACTGTTTTGAAACACATACATTTTTGGTATTTTTGTATGTTCTTTAAAGCGAAATGAGCATATCTTATAATGTATAATTCCCGTGTCATAGGACAATATAAGAAAAACCAACCAGAGATTTTAAGTGAGGCATCACATGACTGATCGTAGGTTAACCGCATCTGTGTTCTGTCTGTGCATACGTCCAGCGTTGTATTAGTACATGATTTCGTACCATCTGATGACGCCAAGGTTCCATCCGAAAACGTATGAAATATTTCAAATGGACATGTTGCCTCAACAAGCCCATCTTGTAATGCACCTTTACATTAAAATGAATGGTTCATCAGGGCGAGAGAAAAAAAAAACAATCATAGCGGAAATATATTAATCACAATTAGTATTGAACGGTCATCGCGTATGTTCGATGATTAAATATATTGCCAAGACAGCATACAATATCATATAACCTTACTAACCGCTAAATATAATACATAGAGGATATTGAATGAGTATAAGTTCAATACTGAATTTATTGAAATCGATGAATAAAATAATATCATGTTCGCCTCTAAAAATGAACTTACACGAATTTAATATTCTATTAATTAAATACCGTTTAAAGTGAAAAAGAGTCATCTTCATTGACGCGCTATTAGCGGGTTTTCACACGACGTTTGTATATAACGCAAATGATAAAAAAATCTTATCACATGCCCGTGCCGTTAAATATGGTATACCGCCGTGCATATATTTTGACGTGACGTCATTTGTGTTATATAGACGTGACGTCATTTGTGTAGAAAAAACTTAATTGCATTAAATAACTTGTTATTATAGATACACACGTCCCACAAATATTTCCCTTAAACACAAGCCAAATTAACTCACCTTCCTTCACTAATGTGTTGTATGTTGAGGTTTCGTACGGTACATCTCTGTTACATGCTGTGGCTATATCAGCAGTAAAAGATTCCAGGGCGACATATACTCTCAGATGAGTTGATGGTTCGATGCCTAAAATACATACCAATGATGATATTAACATCATTATATACCTAGTTACCATAGCTGAGTGCATCTTTGAGTGTACATGTATTCACTTAATGAACTTCTCGGGCTAGGTTACAGGGGTTTTGTACCGGATCATGTACAAAAAATTGCTACCACTTTCATGTATCGACAATATCTTATTTATTGGTTATGGATATTTCCTGATTCTAATACATATTGTACAATACTAAAGTGTGAAGATTAATAAATAAACACCGTACATCGGTAGAGTTATCAACATATTATCAAATTTCGTTACTTATTAATTTTGTTTCGGTGTTGTTGCACTTCTGGCATTTCATATTTTCCACTAAACGCAGAGCGTGTGTATCATAAAACCAACAAAAAGATACATACTGTTAGCTACATGGTACCAATACTTGTAACTCGATATTGGATGAAGATCTAGACAAATATAAGCGAAGAAGTTGTAACCAAACAGAACAAAGGTTCTCTGAGATCTGAAATGTCAAATAAATGGACATAACTACCATTACTTATTCCAACATGAACTTGTCATTGTTTCTCAATAAACAAAATTGCTTTTATTTATCAATTTATAGATTATGATATTGACGTACTTCAGCATGTATATGTCACCACTCTTCTCCTCACACACAAAATCTGTTTCTTGAACATTTACAGTGACCGGAAATGGATAGTTCCAGATTGTGTCCGAGGTGAAGTTAAGAGTACCCTTGTCTGAACTTATCCAGTTACCTCGTAACTCCGCGGGAAATGTACACGCTCCGATTACACTACCTGAAAGGGGGACATAGAAGGAAATTTACATTATTCAATGAAACAAATAATGACGCATGTCTTAGTAAAGAGTAAAAACTGTTATAAAATGATATATCTGTTTCCATTTTTTTTGCCTTTGTTTCTTAAATAAAATAAAATATAAGCGTACTGTGTTACAGTAATCTAATATGTATTTAAGAGCTATTTTACAGTAAATATTTCTTAAATATCTATATTATTCAAAAGTAATGTAATCGTCTAAACAAATTCCTATGCAATACTACAGTAGTGTAATAAAAATATCTTAAGCTTTTTGATAGATAAATTGTTTGATTTTTCATCGTATTATCACGTGAAAAATCTCGCTTTAAACTTTAGGTGTTCATGAGTATTTGCGCTAAATATACATGTATAAATGTTATACCAATTTAACATGATAAAAAAAGGAATGAATATGCAAATTATATACATTTGTATAGGTATGTTGACACGACCTCATTAAAGAGGCACATTTATTTTTCATTTATTTTATCTTTTCTTTCTTACTACATGTTTTCAAAAAATAAGCGTTGCTAATTAGACATTTTACACGGTATTTTAAATAGGCCCAGATATGTGATCCATTTGTCAATAATCAATACTAGCTGTATACATTGTACATGTATATCAAATTTCCATTCAGTTTCAGCGACGCAAAAAAAATGAAACATAAATTTGTTAAGTAATGAAATATGCCATTTTATATAGCTGCATTTAAATCAATCAGTATCGTATATAATATGTTTTCAATTGATTGAGTTTAAACAAGAGCCTGTTTGTATCTTGTATATTAAATTTCAATATTTAAACCAATCATTTATATGATAAATACTATCCATTGTGCGTATTAATAAATGACCGTACATAATTCATGGCAACATGCAACAATTTCTGTCTGTTGTACACTACAGACATTGACTTTAGCAGTATACTACACACATTGACTTTTACAGTACAGACATTGACTTTAGCAGTACAGATATTGACTTAAGCATACAGACACTGACTTGTACAGTACAGACATTGATTTTAGCAGAACAGATTTTGACTTTAGCAGAACAGAAATTGACTTTAGCAGAACAGACATTGACTTTAGCAGACAGACAATGACTTGTGAAAAATAACATTGACTTTAGCAGAATAGACATTGACTTTACAGTATTGACATTGACTTTAGCAGAACAGAATTGACTTAAAAGAACATACATTGACTTAACAGAATAGACATTGACTTAAGCAGAACATACATTGACTTTACAGAACAAACACTGTCTTGAGCAGGACAGATAATGACTTTAGCAGAACAGACATTGACTTTACAGAACAAACACTGTCTTGAGCAGGACAGATAATGACTTTAGCAGAACAGACATTGACTTTTATTTGACATTTATTTGCTGAGAACAAACACGGCCTTAGACAGAACAAAAAGTGACATGAAGAGAAAGACACAACAAACATTGACTTTAGCAGAACAGACATTGACTTTACAGAACAGACATTGACTTTAGCAGAACATACATTGACTTTACAGAAAATAAATTGACTTTAGCAGAACGACATTGAGTTGTAAAGATATGACAGTGACTTGCAGAGGTCGAAAAAAGACATTGAGTTGTAAAGATATGACAGTGACTTGCAGAGGTTAAAAAAAGACATTGAGATGTAAAGATATGACAGTGACTTGTAGAGGTCGAAAAAAGACATTGAGTTGTAAAGATATGACAGTGACTTGCAGAGGTTAAAAAAAGACATTGAGTTGCAAAGATATGACAGTGACTTGCAGAGGTTAAAAAGACATTGAGTTGTAAAGATATGACAGTGACTTGCAGAGGTTAAAAAAACATTGAGTTGTAAAGATATGACAGTGACTTACAGAGGTTAAATAAAGACATTGAGATGTAAAAATATGACAGTGACTTGCTGAGGTTAAAAAGACATTGAGTTGTAAAGATATGACAGTGACTTGCATAGGTTAAAAAAACATTGAGTTGTAAAGATATGACAGTGACTTGCAGAGGTTAAATAAAGACATTGAGATGTAAAAATACGATTGTGACTTGAAGATAAAAGAAAGTGACATGCTAAAACATACGATGTGCCACAGAAAATAACTGGCGGAGAAGAAATGGTGACTTGTGAAAATCACATCATGACTTTAAAAAAAACATGCAATAACCAAAAGTGATTAGATGAACGACAGATTTTATCTTGCAGAGTATACAATAATATGAAAAGTAAAGAATATGTGTATGTGGTAGACAGCTAGAGTTAAACCAACGTAGACAAGAGTTACATCCCTTACACTCAACATATGAATTTTATTTATTTATTTATTTATTTATTTATTTATTTATTTATTTATTTATTTATTTATTTATTTATTTATTTATTTATTTATTTATTTATTTTATGTTATTTTTACTTTCATTTACCCTAGTTTCGCATCAATTTTGTGTGTATGTTTGTCCTCAATTTTGACGTAAGAGTTTAAATGGATTAAATGTAACAGTTATAATAACCATAATTGGAATCTACAGAAAAAAATTATAATAAAAATTTAAAAGTATTATATGTAGTTGTTAGATAGCAACTAATTATACATGATATTATGATATTAGAACTAAAAGGAAATAATCTGTACATGTCGTCGTATTAAGGTGCGTTAACTCGGATCACAAATAAGTAAAAATATAATAGAAATCAATTATTGAATATGGGCAAGTTACAGTATAAATTTAATATTTAAGTGGTGGGTTATTTGATATGTTCATTTTGATTAATATTTATTGTAAACATGTTGTATCATGTCCTGTATAATGTCAGTGTACAAATCAATCCAATAGTGAATATACCTCATACGTATTCATGCATTTGCATGCGAATTGTATTTTACATATTTCGTGATATTTGTTTGTTTGCATGTTGTTGTTTATTTGTGTGTGTGTGTGTTGTTTTTGTGTGTGTTGTTTTTTTGTGTTTTTGTTTGTTTTTGTTGTTTTTTTTTTGTTGTTGTTGTTGTTTTTTTTTTTGTTTGTTTTGTTTTTTTTTTTGTTGTTTTTTTTTTTTTTTTTTTTGGGGGGGGGTTTTTTGTTGTTGTGTTTTTTTTAATATGAGAAGAATTTAAAATCTTCAAGTTAGGTTAGTACATATTGTCCGGATAAACGGTGACATTTTGTCTTTATCAGCATAAAACAGAATATATACATGTATTAGATAATGCAATATGGTAAATTATTCGCGGTAACAATCTTTTAAAAAATAAATAAATACTAGTGTTTAGTGTCTAGAAACATTTTTTTTAATATATGAGAACTTTGTTCAGTTATAAAACATTTATTTCTATATTTTACATTAAAACAATATAATTGTCAGTAGGTTTTTATAGCACTGAAATTGATGTTTTGAATAGACAACTTTCGTGTAATTCTTATTTGAAACTTATTTGATTTACTGTTTTCAACACTTATGATAATTATGTTAGTAACACTAGAAACTTTAAAGAGATCTTTTGCTTCAAATAACTCAAGTCTGGAATGCGTTCCAAATTGATAGTTACAAAATGAATAGAGAATCTTTATACCAAAAAAGGAAAAGTTGCATATTGTGTCATATTGACAATGCGTGTCACATTAAAAATACTAAAATAAACAAGTGTGTCACGCTTATATAAACTTTGTCACGTTGACAGTGATAAAATATATAAATGCGTCACACTTAAATGAACATGTGTCGCATTGCTTAAATATACAAATGTATCACATTAACAATGTATGCCATATCGACACAAATGTATCACATTAACAATGTATGCCATATCGACACAAATGTATCACATTAACAATGTATGCCATATCGACACAAATGTGCCACATTAACAATTTATGCCATATTGACAATGCTAAAGTATACACATGTCACATTAACAAGGTAGGTCATATTGACACAAATGTGCCACATTGACAATGCTAGAATACGTATCTGTGGCACACCGACTTCATTTATGGTTCTACCGCACAAAAATGATTATACATTTTTTGAAACAGAATTTCACTGAATGAATAAATGCTAGTTTACATAAATCGATCGATTGAATTAAAACTTTCAGTGAACATGTATATAATCTATAATTATGAACGCACAGTCATTAATAAGTTTGTATACAATGAGACAAAGTTTAATCAGTTTAACCTCATTTATATATCAATCTTAATTTTACCCCAGATTTTAACACTCATGTACATTTATTTTTATAACGTAATACTATGTAAAAAAATCGAACAGATGTTTTAAATAAACAGATTTTAAAGCAGCACGCCTCCAGCTTCATGTTAAATTTCATGAAAATTTTGATAATGTATTTGACAGTAAAATATTGTTAGGTGAACAAATAAAGTTATTTACATATTGCAATTGGCAATTACAATCCATGCAAATAACCAAAAATAGGTCAAAATGTGCAAAAAGCCCTTACTGCGTTAGTAACGCAGTAGAAATATGGTGATAAAATACTGCAAAATCAGTTTTAAATCGCAAATAACATGTAAACTTTAACATTGATCTTGATTGTTTTTACCTTTCTTGAAATATTAGTACATTTTTCTCAATTTTCATTTTCTTGAAATATTTTGGCTCATCTGGAGGCGTGCAGCTTTAAGAAAACGCATATTTTCCCTTTTCACAAACCTTTTATACCGCCAAACCTTGAACATTTATGAATGGCACTAAATACAATATATTGTATTGATATATATGAATATTCTTCCTAATCATCTTCTCAAGTGAAAGTATTTAAGTCATTGAAAGTTCTCATAACTTTATCAAAAAAAGTCGAAAGAAAGATTTTAACAATTATATCAACAATCGGACGAGTTGAATTTCAAAAGAAACATTTTCTTACACTTCCCACCGTTTATACAATAAAGAATCCGTGTATGTTGTACAAATGCACGCTTCCCTTTTAATTGAATTGTATCTTT